TTGAACCGCCAGCCTTCTGGTGAGCAGTCAAGTGCCTTAGGCACTATGCTACCAGAGCTCCTTCATATAGTCTAGCTTCTCAAATTATTTGCTTAGCATACAGATTGAATAAATAGAGCAAGAAGATAAAACCCTGGTACACACTTTTCCTGATTTTAAACCATTCAGTATACCCATGTTCTGTTTGAACAACTACCTCTTTGTCTATGTACAGATGCATAAATAAGTGTTCTGGAATTCCCATTCTTCCCAATGTTATCCACAACTTGTTATGATCCACACAGTTGAATGCCTTCTCATACTCAATAAAACACAGGTAAACATCTTTCTGGTATTCTGTGCTTTCAGCCAAAATCCACCTGACATCAGCCATTCCTTATTTAACATCCTCTTCTGAATCCAGGTTGAATTTCTTGCAGTTAATTGTCTATGTACTGCTGCAACAGTTTTTAATTATCTTTAGCAAAATTATTTGCATGTAATATTAATGATATTGTTCAATAAACTCCGCATTCTGTTGGATCACCTTTCTTTTGAATGGACACAAATATGAATCTCTTCCAGTTCATCTTCCAAACTTTTTGGCATAGACGAGTGAGTGCTTCCAGTGTTGCATTAATTTGTTGAAACATCCAAATTGATATCCCATCTATTCCTGGAGCCTTGTTTTTCAGCATTTCCTTCAGTGCAGCTTGATCTTCTTCCTTCAATACCAGCAGTTCTCGATCATATGCTACCTCCTGAAATGGCTGGATGTCAATCAATTCTGTTTTGTATAGTGACTCTGTGTATTCTTCCCATCTTCGTTTGATGTTTCTTGCATCATTCAGTATTTTTCCCATAGAATATTTCAATTTCAATACCACAACTCAAGGCTTGAATTTTTTTTTCACTTCTTTCAGCTTGAGAAATGCCGAATATGTTCTTTCCTTTTGTTTTTCTAACTCCAGGACTTTTGCACATTTCATATAATACTTTGTCTTCTTGAGCCACTCTGTGAAATCTTCTGTCTAGCTGTTTACTTTATTGTTTCTTCCATTCTCTTTAGTTACTTACCATTCAAGAGCAAGTTTTAGAGTCTACTCTGACATCCATTTTGATCTTTTCTTTCTTCTCTGTCTCTTTAATGACCTATTTTTTTTTTTTCTTCACATATGATTTCCTTAATGTCATCCCATAACTTGTCTGGTCAGTGGTGTTTAATGCATCAAATCTATTCTTGAGATGGTTTCTAAATTCAGGTGGGATATAATCAAGATTGTATTTTAGTTCTTGTGGACTTGTTTCAGTTTCCTTCAGCTTCAGCTTGAAATTGCATATGGACAATTGATGGTTTGTTCTATAGTTGGTCCCTGGCCTACTCTTTACTAACAATATTGAGTTTCTCCATCACCTCTTTCCACAGATGTAGTTAATTTGATTCCTGTGTATTCCATCTGGAGAAGTCCATGTGTATAATCTCAATTTATGTTATTGAAAAAAGGTATTTGCAGTGAATAAGTCATTGGCCTTGCAAAATTTTATCACATAATCTCCAGGCAGTTTCTATCACCAAGACCATATTTCCAACTACTGGTCCTTCTTCGTTTTTTTCAACTTTTGCATTCTCAAAAAACAAAAAACTCAAACTCACTGCCATCGAGTCAGATCTGACTCATAGTGACCTCTCCTTGGGTTTCCAAGGTGGTATAACTATGGAAGTAGATTGCCCAACCTTCCTACCAAGGAGGGGCCGGTGGGTTTGAACCACCAGCCTTCTGGATAGCAGTCAGAATCACCACTAAATATCAGCTCATCTTGATTCCATTTTAGATGAATTTTAGACTGTAGAAGTTGGTACAACTTTTCAATTTCTTCATCTTTGGCTTTAGTGGTTAGTGTGTAAATTTGAATAATAGTCATATTAACTGGTCTTCCTTGTATATGTATGAATATTATCCTATCACTGACACCACTGTATTTCAAGATAGATCTTGAAATGTTCTTTTTGATTATGAATACAGTGCTATTCCCTTCAATTTTTTAAATCAAAATTCCTGGCATAGTAGTCCATATGTTGTCTAATTCAAAATGGCCAATTCTAGTACATTACAGCTCACTAAGTGGCTAAGACACTTGCCTGCTAACCAGACGGCTGGCGGTTCAAACCCACCAGCCACTCCTTGGAAGGAAGGTTGGGCAATCCTACTTCCGTAGTGATACTGCCTCGGAAACCCAAGGAGGGGTCGCTATGAGTCGGGTTTGACTCGACGGCACATAACAACAACAACAACAATGCCTAGGGCATGGATCTTAATGCATTCCACTATTTTTTTTTTTTTTTTTACAATTTCCACTTTTCCTACATTCATACTTCACACATTCCATATTCTAATGGATATTTATAGCTGTTTATTCACATTTTGAGTAGTGTCACATCAGTAAAGAAAGATGACAAAAGCTTTACTCCATCTATGTCATTAATGTTGACTCTACATGAAGGAGGCACATTTTCCCCAGTTGCATTTTGAGTGACTTCCAAACTGAGGTGCTCATCTCCCACCTCTATACCAGAAAATGTTCTACTGTTATTCATGGGTTTTCAGTGGTCAATTTTTTCAAAAGTAGACTGCTATGTCCTTCTTTCTACAGTTTCTTAGTCTGGAAACTCTACTGAAACCTGTCCACCATGGGTGACCCTGCTAGTATTTGAAATAGCATTGGCATGGCTTCCAGTATCACAGCAACATGCAAGCCATCACAGTTAACAAACTGACAGACGAGTGGTGGACTCTTTCTTATGTACCACCATATTTGTGTATTCAAGGACTAGGATTTATCTTGTTTTGGGTCAAGCCAAAATTTTCCATCCCCATGATAATAATTAAGGATATCTGATCAGACTCTTGGGGTACCACCAATGAAGAAGATAGCCTAACTTCCTTAAACCCCCATTTCTTCATTTTCTCTTCCTGCTCCCATCTTCTAACCTCACCTCCCCTATGCTCCACCAGTTGATTCTACAATTGAAGTCTAAGGGAGCTTTGGAGATGAATCTACCTGGCCCATATTGTTCCGTATTATGAGGAAACCAGTTTTGTCCCAGCAAGTACTTACAGGGTCTCTACAAGCCATATTATATTGGTTTAAATCATCCAATATGCTTTTATTCAGCATGAGGGTACTGATGAGATTTTCAACACCAGGAGTATCCAAGACAGTGGCTAATCTTATGTTAATAGACCTGAGAAAGGAGAGGAAACTAGTTTTTAGATTAAAGTAATAAAATATGTGTTCTCCCCAAATATAGAGAATTGTAACTTAATATACATATAAAAAATAATACCAAGTAGAGTATTTGAGTCTTTTTCCTTGAGAAAAATGTTGGTTATTAATTTTTCATTATCAGTAGCAACAAACTCTAGTCTACATGTAGATGAAAAAGTAGTTAGGTGACAAGATCAAAGTTGTGTATGCAAAGGGGAATATACCCATGACCATCATCAGGAGCTCTGGTAGTGTAGTGCCTAAGGCACTTGACCAGAAGCCTAGCGGTTCAAACCCACCAGCCACTCCTCAGAAAAAAGGTTGGGCAATCTACCTCCATAGAGTTACTGCCTCAGAAACCCAAAGAGGGGTCACTATGAGTCAGGTCCCACTTGACAGCACATAACAACAACAACATGGATATATCTGGCTTGTGATATTCTTATATATATATATATATATATATATATATATATATATATATACTACAAAAATATCCATATACATTATAGAACTAACAGGGGACAAGGTTGAGGTAGCTGCTTAGCCACAACCAAGCATCCTGAGGTAGTGAGTTGCCAGGCTTGGGACCATAATCTCAGGGGGGATAAAGTTCAAATGGCACAATACAGTAAATAAAAATATTGTTCTACATCCTACTTTGGGAACTCTGGTAGCATAGTGCCTAAGGCACTTAACTGCTAACTGGGAGGCTGGTGTTTCCAATCCACCTTCCTTGGAAGGAAGGTTGGGCAATTTACTTCCATAGTGATACTGCCTTGGAAACCCAAGGAGGGGTCACTATGAGTTGGGTCCAACTCGATGGCACATAACAATAACAACAATACATCCTACTTTGGTGAGTAGTATCTGAGGTCTTAAAAGCTTGTGAGTGGCCATGTAATATGCAACTATTGGTCTCTCCTTGCATGAAGCAAAGAGTAAAGAAAATCAAAGACATATGGAACAAAGTTGTCCAAGGGACTATTGAACCACAGGAACCTCCACCTTCATGATCCTGAAACCAGAAGAACAAGATGGTGCTGGCTACCAACACCAACCACTTAGAAAGGGATCAAAATTGGAGATTCTGGATAGAGTAGAAGGAAAAAATGTGGAACAAAATTCAAAAATACAAAAATGACCAGAATTACTGGTTTGATAGAGACTGGTGAAACACACAAGACTATGGCCCTGGGTTACCTTTTATGTCTGGAATTGGACTCACTCTCATGGGTTAGCTCTCAGCCAAACAACAGAAAGATCTATGAGTTGAACACCTACCCCAGGGAAATGGACCCCTTAGAACAGTCAACCATGAGATTGGAAAGGCAGCATTTGCATAGGGGGAAAGGTAGACAGATAGGAATGCCTAAGTAAGAAGAACATATGGAAGGGCCAGTCACAGGGATGAGATGGGAGGAGAGCTGTTTATTGTGGGGATTGTTCTTGGTGCAATGAAACAAAAGTGTATGACATGTTGAGTGCAAAATGATCCTACTTTGTAAATTTGCACCCAAATCATAATTTAAAAATTAAAAAAAAAAAAAAAAGGACAGGAAAGAAATACCAAAATGGAGATCAACAGACACTCTGAAACTAGCTAATGAGGACAGAGTGGCTAAAGTGAAAAAAAGAAATGATGAAGTAAAGTAGCTGAACAGAAGATTTCAAAGGGTAGCTCAAATATAAAGCATTAAAGGAAATGTGCAAAGATTTGGAGTTAAAACAACAAAAGGGAGGTACATGATTGGCATTTGTCCAGATAAAAGAACTGAAAGAGAAAATTCAAGCTAGGAGTTGCAATACTGAAAGACTCGGTAGACAAAAAATCAAATGATACAGAAAGTATGAAAAGAAGATGGAAAGAATAAAAAGAGTCACTGCAGCAAAAAGAGTTGGCCAAACTTCAACTATTTCATCACCACTCATGCAGTTTGCCATTCTGTGGTGGCTTGCATGTTGCTGTGTTGGTGGAAGCTATACCACCAGTATGTCAAATAATAGCAGAATCATGCATGGTGGACAGGTTTCAGTGCAGACTAAGACAGACTAGGAAGGAGGATCTGGATATCTATTTCTGAAAAAAAAAATTGGTCAATAAAACAATAATGAATAGCAGCAGAAGACTGTATGATACAATGTCAGAAGATGAGCCCTTCTGACTGAAAGGCAAACAAAATATGACTCAGGAAGAGCTGCTTCCTCAAAGTAGAGTAGACCTTAATGACATTGATGGAATAAAACTTTTGAGACTTTATTTACTGGCTTAATGTGAGAAAAAGCAGCAGTAAACATCCATTAATAACTAGAATGTAGAATATATGAAGTATGAATCTAAGACAATTGGAAGTCATGAAAAATGGACAGGAGACTAATCACAAAACAACTTAATAAAGCTCTTCATAAAAATATAAAAAAAAGAAAGGCACAAATATTAGTAAAACTAAATAGCATACTAAAACAATAGCAACAAAGGAAATGATTATATATATATAATGAGCTCAGCAAAGAAAACTCTATGGAACAGAGAAATCAGGAACATCACAAAAAATACTTAACAAGTGACAGCAATAAATTCACAGTTGTCAATAATTACACTGAATATAAAAAGCACCAATAAAGAGACAGAGAGTTACAGAATGCTGTCTACAAGAGACATACCTTAAACACAAAGACAAAAATAGACTAAAACTCAAAGGTTGGAAATTTATGTCAAGCAAATGACAATAAAAAAGAGCAAGCATGGCAATACTAACTTCTGACAAAATAGACTTTAAGACAAAAACTACCATAAGAGACAAGGACATTATATAGTGATTAAAGGATCAACTGAACAAGAGACTAACTATGATAAACATCTACACACGAGAAGAAAGAGCCCCCAAATACATAAATCAGATGTTAAATGAATTGAAAAGACAAATAGATGACTCCACAGTAATAGTAGAAGACTTTAATATACCACTTAAAAGGAAGGATAGAACAACTAGAAAGAAATTAAACAAAGACACAGAAGAACTAAACAATACAATTAAGCAACTTGACCTTATAGACATATACACAGCACTTAACCCCAAAACAGCACAACATACATTCTTTTCTAGTACACATGGAACATTCTCCATGATAAACATTATGGCAATCCAAAACAAGGCTCAATAAATTTAAAAACATTGAAATACTGCAAAGCATCTTCTTAGTTCACAATGCTATAAAATTAGAAATCAACAATAGGAAAATCAAGGGGGGAAAAAGATATTCATGGAAACTGAGTAACCCCCTCCTTAAATACTAATAGAAGAAATAAAAGAGGAAATTAAAAAAAAAAATCCTTGAATCAGCAAGAATGAAAACACAACATACCAAAATCTAGGGAACACAGCAAATGCAGTGGTCAGAGGGCATAAGTTGTTATAGAAACAGATGCACACATCAAAAAGAAAGAAAGAGCCAAAACGAACACCATAACTGAACATGAACACCTTAATCGAACATCTCCAACAAATAGAAAAACAGTAGCAAAAAAAGCCTACATTAAGCAGAGGAAAATTAATAAACATTCAAGCATAAATAAATGAAACAGAAAACAATAGAAAGAATCAACAAGACTAGACATCAGCTCTTTGAAAAGATTAATAAAAGCAACAAACAATTGGTAACTTTAACAAAGGAAAAGAAGAAGATACAAATAAGAAATGAAATGGGTGACATCACAGTAGAACCAACTGAAATAAAAAGGATAATATAAGGATACTATGAAGAATAGTACTCCACCAAATTTGAAAATCTAGGAGAAATGTAAACATTTCTAAACACATCACTTACCTAAACTAACACAGACTGAGGTAGAAATTTGGAACAGAAACAAAACAAAAGAAGAAATTGAGGTCAGAAAAAGACTAGCAACAGATAAAGTTTCTGGCACACACAACTCCATTGGAGAATTCTATCAAACATTCAGAAAATACCTGACACCAATCTGACTCAAAAAATTCCAGAACACAGAAAAGGATAGAATTTATCTTATGAGGTATAACTCTAACTTGAGGTGTTGGCAAAGAACATGGAAAGTACCATGGTTTGCCAGAAGAACTAACAAATCTGTCCTGGAAGAAGTGCAGCCATAATGCTCCTTAGAAGCAAGAGTGACCAGACATCATCTCACCTACTTTGGTCATGCTGTCAGAAGGGACCATTTCCTGGAGAAGGATATCATGCTTGGTAAAGTGGAGGGTCAGTGCAAAAGGGGAAGACCCACAACAAGATAGACTGATGCAGTGGCTGCAACGATGGGCTCAGGTATAGCAAGGATTGTGAGGATGACGCAGGACTGGGCAGGGTTTCATTCTGTTGTACATAGGGTCATTAGGAGTTAGAGCTGACTCAATGGCACCTAACAACAACATAACCTGGATAGCAAAACCAGGCAAAGACACCAATAGAAGGGTAATTACAGACCAATTCAATTGTGTCATATATATAGACACAAAAAATCTTCAACAAAATCCTAGTGAATAGACTCCAACAACATATGAAAAAAAAAAGTTAATAAAACAATAAATAATTAAAAAATAATACATTATAACCAAGTGGGATTCATACTAAGTATTCAAGGCTGGTTCAAATAAGAAAAACAATCAATGTAAACATAAGTAAAATAAAAGAATCACATGATCACATCAAGAGATGCAGAAAAAGTATATTATAAAAATCAACGTAAATTCCTCATAAAAACTCTCAGAAAAATAGGAATAGAAGGTAAATTCCTCAATGTAATAAAGGATATGTATGCAAAACCAACATTTTTCTCAGTGGAGCGAGAATGAAACCATTCCCCTTACGAATCAGACAAGTATGCCCTCTATCATACTTCTATTCAACACTGTATTGGAAGTCCTAGTCAGAGGAATAAAGCAAGAAAGGTGAATAAAAGGCATTAAATTGGTAAAGAAGAAGTAAAAAACAATCTCTATT